CATGGATGGAACCAGGAATCACTTGCCTTGCTTGAGAAGTTGGTGTGGAGTAACAGAGGAGACGGAATGATTTTTCAATGCACAATTTTGTTCATGATATTGTGTTTTTCTAGTCCTGACAAGTACTAGTGCTTTGTGTTTGAAACAACAGTGCACAAATACGTAGAAAGATCGTCCAACAACAGACAGCTACAAACTACAAATTTGCAAAGGCAGAAAGCAGGTGTGAACTCCTAATGTTTCTACCAAGTAGAGTCTCTTGTGATAATGTTGCTCATGTTTGCTCAGAAGAATGTAACGAACAAGTAAGCATAACTGGAATTTTGAAGCACGGTGTTTTACCCATTCGCAACAATCTGGTTGGAGGTAAACAGTTCATTACTATAAAAGCAAAAAGAATTGAGAATAGCAACCTCGTGTGGAAACCTTTACTTGGAGTAAAGGGAATACTTTACAGAACTGGAGAGGATTCAGACGAAGAATCCTATATAGTTTTTTGCAACAGCCTTTTTGTGACTCTTTGTCAACGACAAACAGTATACCTTTGTGCGAGGAGAACTCTTCACAGTAGCAGAGGGAATACAGTAGTAACCCATTGGTGACACCAACCCCTGAAGAGAAGCTTTTTAACCCTCGGCGCGCATGCACAGCGAGAGTTACAGTACTTGGTTTGTCCGTCCGTCCGTGTGTTACCACGTTTTCTGCAACAAACAGGTAAAAAAGCGACACCAACGAGTGTAGCGCTACACTCTTTATTTTTAAAATGACGATTTTCGTAAAAGTGCCGCATTCACAAGTTATGGCGTGAAAAGCAAGTGAACAAGCCAATATGCAAATTAGCACAGGCTTACTTAGAGACCAGGTCTGCTTGCTCTGTGCATATTGCAGGTACAACAAAGGGTGTGTATCGACTATCTACTACTGTAGATAAGACTCTCCGCGAACTGCTAGCGGGAGACCTGACAACGAGTTAACGCATACTATAATAGCCCAACCCATCAATTAGTGGCACCGCGCATGCCCAGTTCGCCGAGGGTTTGCACTTTAGTGCTTTTCATTTATGCAAGTAACATTGCTTGCAAGGTAATTCTATACTACGAATCCCAAAATATCTACATTTATCTACAAAGAGAACTGCCAGTTACAGGCAAAGATAGCATTGTTCCTGTGTATCCACCAAAGGGTGATATAGTAACTGTTGATGGTGATGGTGGAGAAGCATGGTTTGCCCGTATTCTGTCAGTGGATTACTAAAAGATTCATTCAAAGTATAGTTTTACACCAAATGTAGGTCTAATGAAGATGTCTTTGTGCGAGGGCCGCCGTGTAACCATTGAAACTGTTGCATGGGTAACGCAGTAGTACTCTTTTCCCAGAGATGGTAGTGACGTTCCATCCCTGGGTCATGCCCAGTGATGATAGTGATGTTCCTATCCCTGGGTCATGCAGTAATCTTCTTTTCCCAGTGATGGTAGTGACGTTCCCATCCCTGGGTCATTCCATAATAATCCTCACTTGTCCGATAAAAACTTTGAGACCAACGTTTCGGTACCTATTCAGGCACCATCATCAGAGTGAAAAGAAAGAATGATGAAGTGACAAAAAAGTGGTGATGGCATGCAAGTGATGGAATGTGCAGATGACAATAGTAGAATGGAATGCACAACTAAACGATTAGGCCTCTGTACATTTCTAATTTCTAACAGTAGATTCCGAACGACCAACCAAACTACCTCATGTGCCTAATGGTTTGTGTCTAGTATTGTCCTCTGCACATTCCATTACTTGCATGCCATCACCACTTTTTTGTTGCTTCATCCATAATAATCCTCACTTGTCTGATAAAAACTTTGAGACCAACCAAACTACCTCATGTGCCTAATCTTTCATTCTTTCTTTTCACCCTGATCATGGTGCCTGAATAGGTACTGAAATGTTGGTCGAAATGTTTCTATCAGACTAGTGGAGATTATTGCTCAGTTCCTATATAGTCACACAGGATTGTACGCAATTATTCCTGGGTCATGCAGTAGTCCTCTTGTATACAGAGTTTTGTTGAAAACGGGGAACCATTAAACGTAAAACATTCCATCGTGCAATTAACGGCACCAAGACTTACGGTTAGTAGTACTTCTCTGCTGACTTATACGCTTTTCGTGCCTCTAGAAGTATATACATCTTTGGTTTTATGAGCCCAAGTAGCACAGAGTGAACACTCCATTTAGCCCCGGACACGCGCCAGCCATGCGGGCTACTTCCGAGCCCTCAACATATCCGAGAACACCTTTGTTCGCACCTGCTGACCTATACCATTCTGTAGCACTGGAGCTAGAATGGGCCTGGATCCATGTGCACTGCAGGTGCAGCAAATCCCCAATAAAATTTTTTTCGCCCCTGCTGAGCCATACAGAACCTATACTATTCTTTAGCACTGGAACAAAGCTACAATATATGCTAAAATGGGCCTGGATCCATGTGCAGGTGCAATGCAACCCTGATGTCTCGGAGTTCCTGAAACAGTATCGTCCTGGTATCCCTCCCTCGGCATGTAAAATAACAGCTCACGCTTTATATAGATAGAAGGAAGAGAACGAAGTGTGAGAAGGGCTGCTGGGGCTTCAGTTGAGATAAAACATTGATTTGCTAGCCCTCAGCAAATCCATTTTTTGCGCACGTGCGAGTTAGTACAGAGCGATAGCATACATGTATAACTAAATTTGAATGACAGACGATTGAAACCGTATCAAAAGGATATAGTGAACAATATAAAACTATACATAAAATTATCTTAGCATCCAAAAATAGCAGTATCGCAAAATGTAGAAATGTAGGGCAGTATATACCATTAGAGAACCAGCTAGCATGGCTTAGGCATTGTGGGTGCCCTGGCCTTTAGAACCAGGGGTGGTGGGTTAAAGAAATGTTTGACATCCGGTGAACTCTACCCACTCACCTGAGGCTTTCTCTTGCCAGTACTAACAAATACTCACACACACACCTTGCATCCTGACATGGTCTTCAGCAAAGAATCACCACTGACTGACAGAAACGACAAAAACGAAGAGTTACATTATAGTGAGCCCGTGGAGTAAGGGCTGAGGTATGTTCGACAAGCCATGATTTTTAAACATGGCCGTCGAACAGTGACGTTTTTGTACAATGATGGGAGGCATTCCCAAGGGCCAATAATGCCCTTAGAAATATGTCTCTTCACCCAGACTCTATATTTGGTCATAAGATTAGTGACCTTGTGTATAATTTGCGGTACAAAAATCCTTATTTAATTAGTCTGGTAGTTATATTTTTCTATATGAAACCATCAAACCTACTCTATATTCAAATATAAACAAGTAGAGGTTTACCTGAAGAGGAGTGCAGTGTGTTCCCATTGGAGTACCAATGCATTGACAAACGACTTGCACATAGATGTTATTAACCCTCGGCGCGCACATGCGCAGCGAGGGTTACTGTACTTGGTTCGTGAGTGTGTGTGTGTGTGTCTGTCCGTTCGTCTGTTACCATGTTTTCTGTGACTACGCGCAACGAGACAACGAAATAGCGACACAAACAGGTTCACCGCTACACTGGCCTCATTTTTAAAAAGGCGATTTTGATATAACTTCTGCAAAAAGACTTTTGTGACTAGGAGGATCCATAACTTCAAGTTAAGTAGTCAGAAAAACTTTGAAAAATATATTCAAACGTTTCGGTGACTATGCACTCACCATCATCAGTGAACAGTACAGAACCAGAAAAATTCAGCAGTATATAAAGGCAAATGTATAGCAACCTTGGAATGTGTAAACAGGGAGATATACATAAGTGGTGAAGGCGAACACAACGACCCAGACAACTAAACAAGGTTATCATACTCCAGAGGCAAAGATCCTGTGTCCCTGTTCAGAGTATGTGCAGTAGATCTAATCAGGAATGAATCGCATACTAGTCTGTAATGATAGTCAGGGCAGTTAGACAGGACAGACACATTTTCCCAGTCAACAGGATGACCGGCTGACCAGACATGTTCAGACAGAGCCGAAGAATTGAAATCTGCTTGTTTTACAGCTCTCTTATGTTCAGTTACGTGTTGACAGAGTCTACGACCTGTTTGACCAATGTAAACACATGGACAAGGGATTTTGTACACCGCTCCTGATATCTGCAGAGCTGGCATTTGGTCCTTGGGTTTTCGAGAGTAAGGACCTCAGGGTATGGCATGGTCGAAAACACACTCACACGTACTGTTCACTGATGATGGTGACTGAACAAGCCAATATGCAAATTAGCACTGGCTTACCTCGACCGCGTCCGCTCGCTCTGTGTGCCTTGAAGGCACAAGAAGTCACAAGGAAGGACGTGTATCAACTCTCGCATGCTATCTACTACTGTAGCTAGCCCGTGTCAGACTCTCCACGAGCTAATAGCCCAGCCCATGAATTAGCAGTATCGCGCATGCAGCAGTTCGCCGATGGTTTGCACTTTAGTGCTTTTCATTTACTATCATATCTATAAGCTGAGACTTGGAGATATTAACACCAGTCCTCCCGTCATTACTCCAAACACATTTCCTTCCTTGAACAGAGAGATACAAGGCATCCCTTTTGGAAAAGGCTTCCTCGATTAGCTCGTTTATCCTATCCTTCATCGAGTCAGATAATAAATGTTAAGAAGAACTCAGGAAGTAGCTGTCTATTTCAGTCAAGAATCTGTACACACAACGTTTCAACTTCACAGTCTTTCTCAAGTGTGATGATTGGACAAGGAAGGTGGTGACAAATAAATTAAGGTGGAATGCACTGTCTAAGAAACTGAAGGCTTAGATGGAATATTAAGTACAAGGGGTCTGAAACCGTAGGCAAATATAAACAAAATAAGAAAATACTATATAAGAAATAAGAAAGTACAAAATAAGGTAATACAAAGTAAGAAATACAAAGGTAAAAGGAAGAATATAAAAGGGCAAAAAATAGGGAAAAGGGTTCGAGTTGAGTCCTGCTGGGTGTAAGGTATTGAGTTGTTTTATCCAAAAGCTTTCTCGATATTTCCTCATGAGATCGTCCTGACTCCTCATCTTCTCCAAAACCATCATTTTGAGGTCTTGGAGTGAGTGAGATGGACCTGAAAAGTGAGCTCCAACAGGTTTGTCACTTTCTTATGTCGGATGTCATGGCGGTGGGCATTCAGGCAAATGTGGAGAGGATTTTTTGTCTCACCCACATACTGCGTTTGGCAAAGGTTGCACTGGATGATGTTTTCAGTGTTCCAGGTGACCCGTTGATGTGCTTTGCACTAAGATCCCCGTTTTCACATGTTGACAGGTCAGGCATCTAGAGCTACCACACGCAGTGGTCCCTCGGGTAGGATCAAATTCTGTGGGTTTTAGCTGTGCACTAACTAGGAGGTCACGAAGGTTTTTCGGATGCTTGAAACCAATAACTGGTGGTTCAGGAATGGCTTTTTTAAGGCGTGATGATGCATGCAGTACTGGAAGGAGAGACCTAGTGATCATCTGCAGTTTTGGAAGGTTGGGATGGAATGTAGTGATTAGAGGAATCCGGCTTGTTTTATTCGTTCTTGGACGAGGTGTGAGCAAACTTTCGTGGCTGACATCACGGACATTGTTTATCTGCCTATATAAGAGGTGTTTCTTTTATCCTCTACGTATGAGGTGGTGTTGTAGCTTGTTGACTTTGAAGTTCTCATCTGTTCAGCAGATACGGCGTATTTTCTGGGCTTGGCTGGGTGGAATTGATGATTTACAATGGCGTGGATGGCAGCAGTTTGCGGCAAGGTAGATGTGTATCAGTAAGTTTGGTCTATAGGTCCACTGAGAGCGAGCCATCCTGCAAGACAATACAAGTGTCGAGGAAGGGGATAGAATTTGCAATAATTTAGTATGTATTGGCCCACCGGCATAATAAAACCACCAAGACGCAGTGCTAAATACCAATTTATTACATGTAAAATAACAGCTCATGCTTTACTTACATACTATATAGAAAGAAGAAATTGAATGCGTAAGAAATTGAATGTAATGGTGAAGGTAAAATGAGTTTATACCACGTTGAGTTAAAACAAAGACTGTGCCTCAGTGTTGTGTACCATGGTTGTACTGCAGTGGCAAAGCGTGTGTGGTCATTCGCTTCCTTTGTGCTGCAGTTGATGTCAAGACATAGTTCCTACACTCATGCTGTGTACAAATATTACAACCCTGAACATGTGGTTTCATGTGCACTCTGTGGTACTAAACACAGCCATCATGCAAGATCGGTGTTTCTTTAGTGTACTTCAGCTTCTAAAAATTAGTTGACTGTTGCGGGAGGCTGGAGATTTTGAGGAGTGCCTAACTGAATCAAGTGTTGCATGCAGATAGAAGACTCTTGGAGCAGCCTGATGAGGACCTCCGTCCTCCTTGGATAATAGTAGAGAGTCTCCAGTTGAAAGTTTCTGATGTCGAGGAGAGATTGCACTAATGTACGTTTGCTCGAGATCGCTGTAACATTGAATAAACCCAAGACAGAAATTGGTCATTGTAACCCGTGGGACGCATGCGCAGAGAGAGTTACATTGTTTGTTTGTGTATCTGTCTGTCCGTGTGTCAGTCTATCTGTCTGTCCGCCCATTCATCTGCCTGCCAGTCTGTCTGTCTGTCTTTCAGTTACCAGTTTTATGCCACCCCATGCAACGCAACAACAACACAAATATACCAGACGGTTGACACTTGCTTGAATTTTGTAAAAGTATTGTATTTAAAATTTGTGGTGTGAAAACCGAAGTGAAAAAGCCATTAGCACTGGCTTACTTCAACCAGATCCGCTTGCTCTGCTTACCTTGGAGGCACCTGGAAATGCAACACCGGACGAATATCGACTCTTGCAAGCTATCTAATTGTGTAGCTAGCCCGTAACAGACTCTTAGCAAGGTGACAAGAGCATTTTACTACTGTACATACTCGCGGTCCAGCTCATCAATTAGTTAGGGTAGGTTCACTGTATGTAGCATTGCCCCGTCACGTCCTGCCGCGAAGATGGAAATCAATTCTATCCTCGTGACACAGCAACGTGGCACGGCGCGGCGGGGCAATGTGACATAATTATTTTGAACCTAGCGTAAGACCGCACATGCGTATACGCGCGTGTAGTGTGCTGATGGTTTGCACTTTAGTGATACCTTAAAACGGGATACCGGGTAGCAGATTCAGGCCAGGTAGTAGTACCCATCGCAGCTACTGTGCTGAGCTTGCTGCTCTAGGGTGCCTATAATCGCTATACGTATGGGTTATGGTTGCCTGTAATCATGGGATGCATATATTCTATAGGACTTATTATCACGATTTTACTGTAATCCATTCACTGTACCAAAAAATTTCCTGCCTGGTGATACAATGTTCACTGTGCTAACTTATGTCCTTGCACTTTCAGGGAACTTGCCTTCCAGCTTTCTGAACAGTTTATTATCTTTGGGAAACCAATTGGCATTAAGACTGCCGTTATTGTTGGCGGACAAGGTTCGTTATAAATTAAAAGGTGATTTTTCTGATATGACTGCATTCAAGAGATACGCCTCAAAACAAGCGATGAGCATGTTCACAATAATAAATATTATGACGCATTGACACGTTTGAAAGATATGCCGTGAAAACCAACGAAAAAGCCAATATGCAATCAGTCAGAACCAAAACGTTGAGTTATACTGTAGCTGTGAGGGAGTACTCATCCTTTGCGACAATATAGGGTTAGTGTGGAGGAAAATTGAGCAAGCAAGCATTGTTAGTTTAAGCAATCATCCATTGTAGAACTGCATCACATGTTCGAGGTCGTCACTGTCTTGTGTCCTTGCTTTTTACATATACATACTTGTTTACTTACTTGTCTCCTTTCCTTATCTAACTGCATGCATGCAAAAAAAGGAGGATACGTATTTTTGGGGCATAATGCCCATCAATTAGTAGTCTTCAGCTGTTTCTTGCTTGTCACCTTTTGTTGTTTTTGCTGAACCTTTCCCATAGTTCAGCAAGTTTAAATAATTTAGAGGACCATAATCGCACCAGCTTACCCTCGACTGATCCGCTTGCTCTTTGTACCTTGCGGAGGCACAAGAAGTCACCACGAAGGCCGTGTATCAAACTCAGGCATCGGCATGCTATCTTATAGTGTAGCTAGCCCATGTCAGACTTCCCTCTACCAACTAGCGTGGAGACCGTGAGTAAGTACTCATAGCCCAGCCCATAAATAATAGCGGTGCCGCGTATGCGTAATGCGTCGAGGGTTTGCACTTCAGTGCTTTTCATTCCTCGCGCGCGCGTAAGGTTTGCATTTCAGTTTTTCAAGGTTGTATAATTATGCTGAATATTAGCGTTAAATGGAAGGATTATACGGATGTTAGAATCTTTTTTGTACAAACATTACAGATCAGACGGAGCAGGCTTCTCTACTTGTTCAGTCACCTCATGTTGTTGTTGGCACACCAGGAAGAGTTTGTTTTCATCTGATGAATACTCCTTGTATTTCTCTGCGCAAACTAAGGTTTTTGGTAAGTTACGTGTATACTATCCTGAACACGAGATTGTGAAAGTGGTTTTAGGCAAAAAACACTCTACAGATAGATAAACTCCTTCTCAGCAAGTACTGTACCAGTCAGAGGTAAAAATAGTTCGTGCGCATTTGGCATGCAGTGAATATGGAAGTTAATTAGGCTGTACATTCGAACAATATGTATAACTCATATTTTGTACTTTTGCACGGAAATGCACCATTTCCCCAGCGGGTGTCTAAAGTGACATTTGTGGCATGAATATGATGTTTCTTATTGCTATTTCATTTATCCTGCATAACTTAGTATACTGTGAAACACACCACTAATGCCATTGGGTTTGGCACTACATTGAAAACAGGTGATTTCGTTAAAAAAAACTGTGTTCTAAACTTATCGCGTGAAAACTTAATATTTGGTTCACCTCGACTTTGGTTTCGCCCGTGTTGTGCAATGTGGGGGCATCAGAAGTTATGAGGGAGTATAGTGTCACGCAACGTTTTCGTACATCGCGTTGCATGACCCTCAGCATGCTATAGCGAAAAAACATGCGAGTATTGCCCAGCCCATTAGTTGCTCTGGCTTTGTTTTCTTTTTCAGTTTGAGTTCATGTGATGAGTTATCGTTGATTGAAATAAAACATTCTTCAGTGTCAGAAGATCGTCAATGTGTTTCATTATATTGTTAAGTCTTTTAGGTTACACCAAATACGTTTTAATCAGGTTTATGTGTTCTATAGGGTACTACTAATTAGGCAGAGTCAGAATCCCTGCACACTGTATGTATATTCCTTTACTGACATTAATTGGCGACCGAAGTGTACCTTGTCGTTTGTCTGTGGGAATTACAAGTAAAATAAAAATCCTGCAAATTTAAAGAAAGAGGCATATAGGGATGGTATATAAAAAAAATAAAGGGAGACAAGATAGGGATGGGATACATGAAGCATGGTTAATGAACAGATAGAACACGCTGACACCCCCAACCCCATCACACAATCCCTATATTGTTGCCTGGTGTGCTACTCTTATAGGGGCTAAAGGTTACTAAATGCAAGCATTCTTTCACGGTGTCCCTGTTGTTTTTTAATAACATTTATACTGCCACATTCCCTTTTAAACTCCACTTGGACTCTATAGTGTATTGCAAGTTCTGAGTATAGTAATGGTGAATGTTTAATACTTCACCTAGTCAACAATATTATAGGGATTGTGTGATGTGGTTGGGGGTGTCAGCGTCGGCATGCATGAACTGTGAGGGTGACGGTACTTGTTTGTCTGCCTGTCTGTCCGTTTGTCTGTTGCCACGTTTTCCGGCAACTACACGCAACGTGAGATAAAAATAGCGATACCAGTGGGTTTATCGCAAAGGTGATTTTTGTATAACTACTGCGTTCGAAAGTTATGGCGTGAAAGGCAAGTGAAAAAGCCAATATGCAAATGAAGAGAGTACTAAAGTGCAAACCCTCAGCGAACTGTGCTGGCGCGGTACCGCTAATTGATAGGCTGGGCTGGGCTATTAGTAGGTGTGTACCCGTGGTCTCCACACTAGTATAGCTTGCGTAGAGTCTGACATGGGCTAGCTACAGCACTAGATAGCATGTGGGAGTCGATACACACCCTTCGCTGTGACTTCTTGTGCCTTCAAGACACACAGAGCAAGCTGACTCGCTCGTGGTGAGCCTGTTCTGATCGAGGGGTCTGACACGGGTGGAAATCTCGTACGCTTATGGTCAGAAATCCATAGAAATCAGTTGGAAATCAAAAGAAATCAGCGAAAAGTGGAAATCAGAAATCAAGTTGCCGTATGCGTGTCACTTTTCTGCTCCGTATAGCTCCGTTCACAATAGTAAACTACAAGGCTGACCTTGCTGCGGTGCGCGCACACGCGCGTCACTTGCTCCGGCCGGCTGGCCACACTGCGACGTGGTACCGCCTGATCGATCAAGTGTGTGCACACATAATACCACGCTCCGGGTTTTGCACAGAACTAAAACCATCAGGGTAGGATCTTGCTTGCTCGGCCTTGGCCTAGGCATAGGTTTGCTCAGGTGGAAATCAATAATTGTAGCTCACATTTAAGTTGAGAGCGGGTATGAAATCATGCAGGCGATGTGTTCTGCATTACTGGATTGACATTTTAAGCAGGCATGCTAGCATACACCCGGGTACCTTCACCATATTTGGGCATGCTCAGGCATGGTTCGCACAGTAGGCAATCAAAAGTGCCAATGAAGAGAACAAGACTCAGAGAGAGTTCAAAACATAGTGAATATAGGGATGGTATATAAAGCAAGATGATAAACAAGAATGACCTTGTGCATTGCAATGCATAACTGCGAATTGCATTTTACGCATTCGCAATAATTGTACACACCCATTTTCGGGATTTTTCAATCCAGGCTGAGTGCCCGGTAGTTATAACTCACAATATTGTCTACGTATAGGTTATACGATGGCGGCGCGTGGTTTACTGGTTTTACACGAGTGGCCAGTTTTGATAGGGCACGAGGGCGTAGCCCGAGTGGTCTATCAAAACTGAAGCCACGAGTGTACAACCAGTAAACCACAAGCAAAGCCATCGTATAACGTGTTTGTATTATGACATACCGCGGTAAGGCTCTGACCAATGAGATCGCACAAAAGCTTTCCAAATGCCCTCTTTTTAACGCACACCCTCGAGTGGACGGCCGGAAGAGCTAGCGACCGATCGGGAGCGGAGAGACAGCTGCAATAAGCGGTTTAGTTTGGTCAAGCTGGGCGGTTGTGCAGAATCCATGGTCATTTTTTCGAGAGTTCAACGTTACAAGTACGTCACTTTTTCGCTGCTGGACTCCACGCGAGTTTTGTAGCTGCCGTTCTGGCTCGCTTTCTCTCCCGCTATACCCAGCGCTCTCGAATGCAGCCTGTTGCAGTAGAAAGAAAGCTGAAAGTCACATACTGTTCCAGTCTACGGGAGCCTACGCGTCGGGAAGCAGTTTTTAGCTAGTTTTCAGACCACGTATATACTAGAGCAGTTTCTGGCCATTCTAGCCTGAAAACACTCCCTTCTGGTAAAGAAACAGCAGCACACAAAGAGTGTGAAAGCCCCTTACACGCTGCCAATTTCCTACTATCGTATAACTACCATATACCCATTGTGGTTTATGCAAATGAGTTGACATACAGCTAAAGTATGGGGAAATCGTATGGCCTCTTTATGGTATAATGAAAGCACTGAAGTGCAAACCCTCGGCGCATTGTGACGCGCACGCGTGAGTAAAACGCATGCGCTGTATCACTAATTGATGGGCTGGGTTTAGTTCTGCCCATCTCGCGCAGAGTCTGACGCGGGCTAACTATACACTACTAGACAGCATGCGAGAGGCGATACACGCCCTGCGTTGCATCTTCTGGTGCCTCCGAGGTCGCAGAGCACGCGGATCGATCAGACCGCGGTAAGCCATCCCGTCCGTTGCGTATTTGCATATTGGCTTTTTCGTGCTCTAGCTTTGCAACGGAGCATTTCCAGAGAAAACCACCTTTATTTTCTGACCTTCGTCGCCCGTTGGGTAGATGGTATCGTTTCTGGGACGAACAGACGTTCGAGGAGTGAGATAGAGAGTAACAGACAGACAGACAGACCCAAGTACTGTAACCCTCGCTGCGCATGCGCGCCGAGGGTTAACTACCCGTAAACTCAGCAGGAAGCGCTCACTACGCGTGTACGTTGTTTGGACTAGCTGGAATTCCTTTGATCTTACTCTCAGTCATCATACAAAGATAATTCTACAAAAACATACAATATAATATTAGCGACAATGTTGTAGGTCTTGTGTCAGTTTGGGATATGTAGCCATAGTTCATCTCAGCACTGCAAGCACATGCTTATAGAGTAGCTTTAGGCCAATAGGGGATTTCCCAACAGGAAGTGCTTTGAAATGTGAGTAGCAACTAGCAAGTAATGTTTTTTCCGCCAGAAAGCTGAGGTAATAATAATTCATAAGTACCCTGTTTCAATATTACCCTGCGGGAAACACTGAGTCGAATCAATACTGTTCACCTATAACAAACTAGACTTTCTAAGACACAATGCGCTACACATACCCCGGCCTAATTGTATAACCAACAGCCAGTAGAACTCACTAAAGTTACACAAAATTGTAAGGCTGTAACACTGTAGGAAATATAGATAAGTGGATAGGATGATGTAAACATAGGGCAAAAGTGGATAGGATGATGTAACCATAGAATTAAGTATTGTTTGCTAGCCGCACTATTGGAATATACTGCTGTACTACATACTGTGGAATACACTGCTGTACTATATACGGCAAGCATGCTACCAATAATCATTTCCTGTGATTACAGTTTTGTCACCAGACCCAACCGATTGTAGAAATTTCCTTGGGACTCCTACCACCTAGCCGGCCTACCACAACTTGAACCTCACGTGATTGAATGGAGGCTTGAGAAGAGTATATCTAAGAACAAGAATAACCACACCACTAACTGTTTTACTCTACAGGCGCAGAAATGAAATTTTTTCTGTAGCCGGCTATAATGTGCTCAATTGCATATGTGCGCCGGGGACAGTATTATCGGACTCAGTGTTCTGTGGCGCATCCCGTGTAAAACAAAGCACGCAAACTCAGGTATAGGCGCATTATTTCGCGGTGGTTTACTACGCGTTGTTACACACTACTACGCACGCCGTGGGCGTGTCATTACGCGGTTAAGCGTAAACAAGCACGGTCGCACCCCCAAGTTTGAGCGCTGTTCCGCACAAACGTGGGTGTGTCAGTACACGGTTATGCGCGAACGAGCGTTTGCTGAAAAAACTTCGCGAAATACCGCGAGTGTATAGTGTATGCCGGCGATTGCGGGTGGAGCACGCCGTCCTGCGTTACTACGCGCGAATGCTAAGTCTGCGTAAATTAGTGTGACTTCCCGCTTGAGTGCGTAAAAGCGCGATATTTCGCAACCGTTGCTGTCTGTGCGCGCTTTTACACACATTATTTTACACGGAAATGACTACTGTTCGTGCCAGTAAAGGAACTCCTCTTTAGGGAGTATCACTAAGTACGGTAGTACTTAGGATTGGCATGGTACCTAGCATCATAGATGTATGGGGCTATGATAGGGAGTTTTGTTCATCTTCTTCTTCTCCTTCTTCAGATTGAACTCGCGTAACTCAAAAACGAAACAACATATAGTAATGAAATTTTGTAAGAATGTATATATCCGTCACCCGAAGAGACTGGTCATACTTAATTGTTTGTAAACAACATTGTTTACAGTAAACAACAACAAATAGCCCCGGGCAATACATTATAATGGGATCGCATAACTCACAAATGGTAAGAGCTATGTGAACGAAACTTTGTAGACATAATGTATTCAATCACAAACATCAAAATTACAACAATACATGTTTGTAAACAACAACAAATAGCCTGAGGCACTTTTCTTTAAATTTACTTCTTCACTTCTCAAACTCTCGAATGGTAGCACACATAGAGATGAAACTTGGTAAGTATGCCATTTCCATGACGACCGCATTTTGTTTGAAAAGCCTCAGGCAATTTTCTTTAAAACCACTTCTTCACTCCTCAAACTTGCATCGTTTCCATGACGACCACAACAACAAATAGCCTCAGGCACTTTTCTTTAAAATTACTTCTTCACTCCTCAAACTTGCTAACTGTACCACACATGGAGGTGAAACTTGGTACGCATGTTTATTACATGTTTCCATGACGACCACAACAACAAATAGCCTCAGCACTTTTATTTAAAATTACTTCTTCACTCCTCAAACTCGCTAACGGTACCACGCATGGAGATGGAACTTGGTACGCATGTGTGTAACGTCGTTTCCATGACGACCACAACAACAAATAGCCTCAGGCACTTTTATTTAAAATTACAGGCATTTTTTATGTTATTCATTTTTATAGGGGCTTGCCCCCTTCCACAGACATGATACGTAGTAGTATATAAAAATGAGTGGAGACAAGTAAAAAAAAAATCCTGCGAATTTAAAAAAGGCATATAGAAAGAAAGGGAGACAAGATAGGGGTGGGATATATGAAGAATGGTTAATGAACAGATTTGAGTACGCTGACGATGAGTACGCTGACGTTTGAATGAATATATTTTTTCAAATTTTTTTGCTAGTGTATTAGAGTTAACTTGAAGTAACCCCCAACCCCATAACACAATCTCTATATTGTTGCCTAGGTTAAGTATTAAACATTCACCATCAGAACTGACAATATACTACTGAGCAACCAACACCCTTGTAGAGTCCAAGTGGAGTTTAATTAAAGGGAATGTGGCAGTATAAATGTTATTAAAAACAACAGGGACACCGTGAAAGAATGCTTGCTTTTAGTAACCTTTAGCCCCTATAAGAGTAGCACACCAGGCAACAATATAGGGATTGTGTGATGGGGTTGGGGGTGTCAGCGTACTCAAATCTGTTCATTAACCCCATGCTTCATGTATCCCATCCCTATCTTGTCTCCCTTTCTTTTTATACCATCCCTATATGCCTCTTTTTTTTTATTCGCAGGATTTTTAATTTACTTGTACAGTTATAGAACCCTTGAGAGACCGAGAAATGAATAGAAATCCATTTATAAATCCAGAGTAATCTAGTAATCACTGGAAATCTGAGAAATCACGTGATAATACCGAAATCACTAGAAATCAGTTGGAAATCACGAAATCTCGTACGTCATAACGGCATGTGTCAGAACGGTTCTAATAGGCCATTCCCTCTAAGAGCCTAAATAACTACGCGCGTACGCTGGGAATGCAGTTGGGTTATACACGATTTTATACTCTGCTTACGGGAGCGATTGCCTCATTTTGCGCACCCATAACGGCGTTTCTGCGCAGTCTATCAGCGCTTGCGCAATGTGAGTGCAAAGTTCAAGCCATGACGAATCGAACGGACCGTGAATAAATGATTTTGGCCGTCGTACTCCTGGGCTATGACACCACGAATGAAGCTACCTTTCACACGATTTGTACTCTGCCTCCTGTGCTCGTGGTTGAGTTAATACTGTACACAAAAGTGAGGCGCTGTCTCGGGTTCGTGTATGGCCTAGCTACATACGTAGCCGGTGTAGCCGAAGTTAGTAGGAGGCCAGTAGCCAATGACGAGTTTATGATCATGCATTATGTATAATATTATCCTCGCTTAGATGCCAAACTACTGTGTTGTCTGTGGGCTCTCTAAGTCAAGTGACCCTACCATATCACTATTTCGTCTACCTAAAGAACCCGGGAGGAGAAAATTGTGGCTAGATAGTCTTGGTTTTGATGAACAAGGTGTAACTACAGAATCTCGTGTATGCTCGAGACATTTTCGTGATGGAAACCCCCAAAATGCTCCCTCTCTCGACATCGGAAAGGAATTTTCCGAGAGACCAACCAACATAACACCTAGAGAAAAACGCCACGCTTCACGTGAGATAGCTAAAGTTCAGTTAGCTAAACGTTCTTGTACTCATACATCTCCTACATCAGCTGTGTCACCTACAAGTGGTCTCCCATCTCCACTATCACTAACCTCTACACCTTCACAATCTCCCTCATCTGGATGTACCCATGTACTACATTTGAGCGCCCTCTATCAGAGTGTGCATCAGATTCACAATCAAGTATTGGAACAGGCACTAACCCTACGGCTTCTAGCGGGACTTTATTTTCAATGCCATCAGGGTTGCGTTCAGAAGTACAGATCACAGTAGATGTTGCTCTTTCAACTCAGATTAAAGTGCTATAATCAGAGGTAGAGAAACTAAAGGTTGCACTCAGGAGAGCTCCTTTTCGGATAGATTTTGTATCTCATGATGACACCCTCATTTCTCTATACACTGGCTTTCCATGTTATGATGTATTGCTCTCATTTTACAACTTTCTTGGACCAGCTGTCAATAAACTAACGTATTGGGGTACAAAGAGAAAAACTCACACAAAGCGACGTAAGAAACTAGACAGTTTGAATCAGCTATTCCTTACTCTCATCAAGCTTAAACTGGACCGTAATATACGAGACCTAGCATTTCGCTTTCAAGTTTCTACTACTACTGTGTCTCGCTACTTCATTACCTGGGTCTGCTTTCTCTACAATGAACTGAAAGAAGCAAATTGGTTCCCAACGAAAGAACAAGTCGCCGGAACTCTTCCCCATTCGTTCAGGCTAAAGTATCCGAATACTGTGGCTATTATTGATGGCAGTGAGATTTTTGTGGAAACTCCGTCCGATCTAGTACTACAATCAACATCTTGGAGCAGCTACAAACAACATAATACGCTAACATTTTAAGTTGTCTGTACTCCTAATGGATCAATTTCATTCATCTCACCCCTTTGCCTTGGCTCAGTGTCTGATCCTGCCCTCATACGTGATTGTGGCTTCCTTCAAAAACTTGAAGGGAAGGAAGGAGTTTCAATAATGGCCGACCGAAGCTTCACAATAAAAGAAAGCTTAGGAATGGATATTTATGTGATATTATTACACCTGTCGTAGCAGTAAGAAGGTGTGGATGGCCATGTGCTTGCTGATACTTAACATATGCATCCAAAGCAGTTGCTTCCATTGACCGCCCATAGCTCAATGCAGCACCCGTTGCAGTTTTCACTCCTAGAACTGTAAGTACTAGGTTGTCTGGAAGAGTAGAAGGCTTTAGCTGCGTAACACGACCAAACAAGGATGCAGTCAATCGTAGTCTACGTGCTTCAAACCACAGAGGTGATGTTGACTGTCCTCTTGTTTCGTTTTGAATACGACGGATGTCTTCTTCTGAGACTTCTAAGGTTTTCTTGAACTTCATCACCTTCTCTAGTATAGCAGTTTTTAACCAACCACGTGTTTGTACAAGTCAGTGCAGTTGCAATAAATGTTTGTGCAGTTGTTGTCTAAAAGTCAGTCTGCGTAAAGTGCGGCTGTGCCAACAAGTTTATGCAATGTAGTTTTATGAATAACCTTTCTATCAATGCTGCCTTCTTTTCACTGGAGGGAACCTGAATTCCATGACACAGCAGCCACCACCGTAACTGTGGTACTGTTTTACTATCCAGTGGTTCCTCTCCCTCTATATCTTCCTCTTCTAGAGTGACATTTACAACTGCAGTGCCACTTGTAGATGGGGCTGGGTCCATCATAGCAGTCATAGCCTACAGAAGATACAGACTAGGTTTAGGGAAGGACTTTCTTAATAGTTACTCACCACGAGCACAGTAGGCAGAGTACAAATCGTGTGAATGGTAGCTTCATTCGTGGCATCATAGCCCAGGAGTACGACGGCCAAAATTGTTCATTCACGGTCCATTCGATTGGTCATGGCTTGAACTTTGCACTGACATCGCGCAAGTGCTAATATTAAGCCTGCGCAGAAACGCCGTTACGGGTGCGCAAAAGGAGGCAATCGCTCCCGTAAGCAGAGTATAAAATTGTGTATAATCCAAGAGCATTACGTCATTACATTTCACCCCAAGGTCCGTATGATGTCACGTGAGGCATTCCACGCATACTTCGCTCTTAGGGGGAACAGTCTATTGGCGTATTGCCTTTTTCGCTCATGTTTCACTCCGTAACTCCCGAATGCAGCAGTTTCAGAGAAAACCCCGCATAATTTTAGACCTTTATCTGACGCTGAATATGTGGTTTCGTTTGTGGAGCGATTGATTGCTCGTGAAGTGAGATGGCTCGTGGACAGTCAGAGAGACAGACACACACGACAACTATAGTAACCCTCGCTGCGCATGCGCGCCTAGGGTTAATTAGCACTTGCTTACCTCGACCGGGTCCGCTTGCTCTGTGTATCTTGAAGGCACATGCGGCACGAAGGGCGTGTATACACTCCCGCATACTATCTACTGCTATAGCTACCCTGTGTCAGACTCTCCGTGAAGTACTAACGGAGCGGGAGACCACGAGTAAACATACTATTATAGCCCAGCCCATCAAGTAGCGGTACCGCGCATGCGCAGTTCGCTGAGGGTTTGCACTTCAGTGCTTTTCATTAACCCTCGGCACGCGTGCGCAGCGAGGGTTACAGTACTTGGTTTGTGTGTCTGTCTGTTACCATGTTTTCTGCCACCACGCAACAAACTGGCCAAAAAGCGACGTCCTCACGCTTGGCATCTTTCAAATTGAAGGCGTGGTTGATTGCCATAGCTCTAAATCAGTGAGGCGCCGATTCTCAAAAACCACGCGATTTAGAAAGCCTTGGGCCCTCTAGTAGCGTCCTCGCTTGAAGGCGTGGTTGATTGCCATGGCTCTAAATCAGTGAGGCGCCGATTCTCAAAAACCACGCGATTTAGAAAGCCTTGGGCCCTCTAGTAGCGTCCTCGTTGGAGCTTGGACAGCAACTGCCTGAGGACCCACGGCTTTCTAAATCCGCGTAGTTTCCTCGAATCGGCGCCTAACATATATATGAATGTCATATGAATTTCATTGTGCGATTAGATCTAAATGTATTACATTAAGCACACCAACTTAGGGTTTTAATTAACCCTCAGTGTGCATGTGTTGTAGTTGTCGTGTGTGTCTGTCTGTCCATTACCCAACATCTCACTTCACGAGCTATGAATTGCTTCACAAATGAAAAGCACTGTAGTGCAAACCCTCGGCGCACTGACGCGCACGCGTAAGTAAACGCATGCGCCGTACCACTAATTGATGGGCTGGGTTTAGTTTTAGCTGTTACTCGTGGTCTCTTGCGCCATATCGCGCAGAGTCTGACGCGGGCTAACTACACTACTAGATAGTATGCGAGATCTTCTGGTTCCTCCGAAGTACGCAGAGCACGCGGATCGATCCGACTGTGGTAAGCCATCCCGTCCGTTGTGTATTTGCATATTGGGTTTTTCGCGCTCTAGCTTTGCAACGGAGCAGTTTCAGAGAAAACCGTTCAAAATTTCTGACCTTCATTGCCCGTTAAGTAGGTCGTATCCTTTGTGAGACGAACAAACACCCGAGAAGTGAGATTGAGAGTAACAGACAGACAGACGGACACACAGACAAACCGAACTACTGTAACCCTCGCTGCGCATGCGCGCCGAGGGTTAACAATACCACATATTGAGCGTCGGGTATAGGTCAAAAGTATGTAGTTGTCTCTGAAACTACAGCGTTCGAAAGTTATGGCGTGAAAACCAAGTGAACGAGCTAATATGTAAATTTGCCCTGGCTTACCTCGGTCAGATGCCCTTGCTTTACGTACCTTGCAGGCACCAGAAGTTGCCATGCAGGGCGTGTATCGACTTGCAATTTGATAGTGTAGCTAGCCCGTTACTGTCACTCAGCGACCTGGTAACAGACCACGAGTCAGTAAAACGGTAAATTGCCCAGCCCAGCCCAATTAGCAGTAAGCACATGAGTGTACTTACCGCATGCACAATTCTATAGCCTTGATGTTTAGAAACCTGTTGACGCATGCGCGAGATATTCGGTTTTCAAATTGGCTAAATTTCTGCAGAGAATGTTTACCAAGCCTATTGTTGGGCTACAACATGGCAAATGCACAGCGAAGGATGTGCCTCACTTGGTAGCAGCCTTTCACAGAAGGCCGTGTAGGTCGGTCTTGGTCAAATGTGCTTGCATGGAACCCTTCTCTAGTGAGCTCGCATGCGTCTCCGCCGAGTGTTTGCACTTTAGTATTTTCATTTTATTTTGTAGGTGCTGGATGAGGCGGATTCTCTTTTAAGGTCGAGTTTCTCTGCTGATCTTGGAAACATATTCCTTACACTACCAATTAAGAGGCAAACAATTTTATTTAGTGCTACTGTGACCGATACATTGAAAAAGCTTTTTGAAAATTCGAGCAAAGATGTGTTCACATGGAAAATTTCGATGGAGTAAGTATGTGTGTTTTGGATATGTATATTATGACATTGTGTTCCTGTACACCTGAAAGTGGTACAACATGTGTGAATTAGTTAATACCGGTGCGAGTACTCTATGGAAATTAGTCGGCACGGGGAAGTTCGAGAAGGTCACGAGCGTGCAGGGCGAGTGTTACATGAGCTTCGAGAACTTTTCCCAAACAATAATTTCCATACAGCACGAGCAAAGACTACTTCAACTGGTTCCCAGTCCTTTACGAAACTGTTATCTATTTTCCTAACTGTTCTTTACTGTTCTCTATTTTCCCTAAGTGTGTGGTCCACCCAACCTAACAACTAATTGTCTATGTAATCATAATTGTTAGCTGCATGACTGCACCATCTACCAGATATGTAGAGTAGGCCACCGATGATCGGACTACATATATCTTCAGACGCACTCCTGAACCTTTAGCAATGAGATTTACAATTAATCGATACTACACGAAAAGTATTACCATCTTGCAAAACAAGAATGTCCCGCGATGTACACTCGACGTGTTACAAAGCGCCAAAATCGTATTCGGACACAGGTATATTCGGATTTGGGAATCAAATGCCGGACGTCAGGAGAACAGAGTCAACGTCCGTGGGAAGGTACCGCACCATGAAGGCTAGGTCCGCACTTGCGCGCACGACCCGTCCTGCAAAGAATCCCCAGGAGTTAAAAGGTGCCGCGCATGCGCAATACGGCAGAGCCGCTCGGACACATGGCAGCAAGACGTTCAGCCTTCACAGAGGTAAAATCCTAGCAAATCAACGCCAATATGCGGCTCAGAGCGGGAAACAAAGCAGTTTGATAAGTTTTCTTCCGAAAACTGTTGGGATTACCCTAATCTATTGCACATGGTGGACCACCCCAGTCTCTTACATTGGCCATCCCACCGACGAGGGAACAGAGTTCCAAAGATCAGTCCTAACGCAGAATATCGTTTTTTAAACAGCTTATGCATGCAAAGCCCCTGGCTCCCCTGGACTGACGAGCAGTTTCACCCCGTATTCGGCGATACTATGTAGATACACAAGTGCCGACACAGTGTAATGTGAGGGCCAAGACAATCCCTTAAACCTCTTGTCACGGTTTTAAAGCTGAGAAATGCACATCAGCAAAGTTCTGAAATCCTGACAAGAATGAGTGAATAATGAAGGGACAAAAGGGACAAAAATGAGTGAATAATGAAGCACACAAGGAGGGCAAAATATTTGCATAACAACAGATAAAAGTTTCTCAGAATACTCCACTACAAACAGGAGGAGCACACAAAATGATAGTCATCCAACTTGGCCACACTTGGTCTAACTCTAACACGATACCAGCTCCCACACAATTCACAGCAAACCCACACATATGCATTCTT